ATCTATCTATCTATCTATCTATCTATCTATCTATCTATCTATCTATCTATCTATCTATCTATCTATCTATCTATCTATCATCTATCTATCTATCTATCTATCTATCTAACATCTATAACTATCTATCTATCAATCATCTATCTATCTAATCTATCCATTCTTCTATCTATTTATTTATTCATTTATCTATATATCTATTTGTATCTACTTCTTACCTCTATATATACACAGTATATTTCCCAAAATATCTCTGTCTGTCTGTCTGTCTATCTAATCTATCCATTCATCTATCTATTTATTTATTCATTTATCTATATATTTATTTGTCTATCTGTCTGTCTGTCTATCTAATCTCTCCATTCATCTATCTATTTATTTATTCATTTATCTATATATCTATTTGTATCTACTTCTTACCTCTATATATACACAGTATATTTCCCAAAATATCTCTGTCTGTCTGTCTGTCTATCTAATCTCTCCATTCATCTATCTATTTATTTATTCATTTATCTATATATTTATTTGTCTATCTGTCTGTCTGTCTATCTAATCTCTCCATTCATCTATCTATTTATTTATTCATTTATCTATATATCTATTTGTATCTACCTCTCACCTCTCTATATATGCACTGTATATTTTCCCCAATATCTGTCTGTCTGCCTCTCTCTCTCTCCTTCTCTCTCAGATAGAGAGATAGAGATAGATGAAGACAGAGAGACAGATAATCTATCTCCATTCATCTATCATTTCTTTCTGTATGTACCTCTTTTTTGCTCCCTCTCTCTTTACACACTCACTCACTCACTCTGTATATATCCAACTGTATCCATCCGTCCATTCCTCTTCTCTCTCTCTCTCCTTCCCCCTCTCTCTCTTTCCCTCCTTCACTCTCTCTCCCTCCCTCTCCCTTTCCCTCTCCCTTCCTTTATGATTCAGGTTCAGCTGAAACTTTTAACTGAGTCAAAAGCAGAATTCCCCCACCCCATAAAAAGGGGGGGGTAGAGTAAGGATTAGGCAGGAAATCCCAGCTGTTTTAATCCATTCCAATTCCGACTCCATGTTTTTCCTCTCCCCCCCCCCACTCCCATCCCAATCCAGCTTCCCTCGGCATGTCCGGCCCCACCTGGCTACCCCCAAAGCAAGTGGGGGGGCTGGCCCAGCCGGATGTCCCCCTGTCCACCCCAGCCGCCGTCTGCAAGGTCCAGAAAAGTTTTGCCTCCCTCCCTGCGGCCCCCAGACCCGCCCACCGGACTCCAGAGACCAATGGGGCAATGAGCTCCATGGGGGGACCATCCCGGGACCAGCCCCCTCCTGCAGGTAAAGGTGGGAGCCGTCAGTATTTGGGGAAGCGTTTTCTGCACAAATGGGGAGGGGGGGAAACACCCTCTAATGGGCAAGATGGGTGGACTACAACTCCCAGAATTCCCCAGTCCAATTGCCTTCCCCTGGGCTGGTTTTGCTCCTCCTCCTCCACTGACCTGCGTTGCAAAATACTCCTGACACCCCTGTAAGGTAGGCCCCAAATTGCTCCTTTATCAAAATGTGGGGGTGGGGTGGGGACGACAAACCCACAAATAGCTGAGAACGGATCCCCCTCCCCATTGGACTGGCAGGTCGCAGCTGCGAGGAACATCTGTCAAGGAAGGCAAAACTTTTCAGCCAATCAGGACAGAGGAATTGTATGGATGGAGACAGGAGATAGATGGATGGATGGATGGATGGATGGATGGATNATGATGCACCAGAGACAAATGCCTTGTGTGTTTTGGGGAATAGCTTGATCCCCTCCTCTCTGTGGCAGCCCCTCAAATATTGGAAGATTGCTATCCTGTCTCCCCTGGTCCTTCTTTCTATTAAACTAGCCATGCCCAGTTCCTGCAACCGTTCATCGTATGTTTCAGCCTCCAGTCCCCTAATCCTCTTTGTTGCTCTTCTCTGCACCCTTTCCAGA